AAAGAGATAGTACATTTATAGGCCACAGTAATTAATGAAATGGAAAGACAGACCAGTTAGTATTAAGTGCAGTAAATGTTATATCAAATTACTTCCCTACTCTGTGCCCATCTGATGACACGCGACCACGAATGGCACCATTGAGTCTAACTAAGAGTATAATGAAGGCAAAGAAATTGTAAAAAAGTAAAATTAGACAAATAAATTACGTAAATACATGCACACACATACACACACACACACGCACACACACACACACACACACACACACACACACACACACACACACACACACACACACACACAAGATATCATCATCATCATCATTGCCTTTCTCACCCTACATCAGGATATAGGATACGGACAAACACCTTCCATCTTTCTCTATCCTGGGCTGGCCTCTTGATTTTGTTCCATGTTTTCCCACTTTTCTGTACATCGATTTATGTGATTCTTCTCCAAGTTCCACGCGGTCTTCTCCTTGATCTCTTACCCTGTGGGTTCCAATCCAAAACTTTCTTTGTTATGCAGCCGCCTGACTTCCTGAGAGTATGTCCAATCTATCGCCACCGCCTTCTTCCTACCTCATCTCTGACTGGGATCTGTCTTGTTTTCCTTAACACTTCCACATTGGTAACCCTGTCTGTCCATCTGAACATCAGTAACTTTCTTAGACATCTATTCAAGAAAACCTGGATCCTCCTTATTCAAGTCTGTGATGCGTTCCATATCTCACATCCATACAACAGGACCGACATCACATTTGAATTGAAAATCCTCAGCTTTGTTAGAAGTGAGATATCTATGGTCATCCAAATCCTATCCAAAGATATGAAAGCAGACTGTGCTTTTCCAATGTGGGACTTTATTTCAGCACCCGTTCCTCCATCTCTGTCAATTATACTCCCAAGATAGCAAAAGGATTCAACGTTTTCTAGTGCCTTTCCTTCTTTTGTGACTTGCTCCTTTCGTTCTGCATCTGTCCTTAGGACCTTTGACTTTCCGGGGTGGATCCTCAATCCAACAGACTCCAATAGGCTGTTTAAAACTGATATCTTTGCTTGCATCTGTTCCTGGGCGTGCGACAGAAACGCCAAGTCATCTTCAAAATCCAGATCGTCCAACTGTGTCCATGGTGTCCACTGTATACCATTTCTGTGTCCCCTGGTGGTTTTTTCATCAGCCAGTCGACTGCCAATATGAAGAGGAATGGTGATAATAAACATCCCTGTCTCACACCAGTCTTGATGTCAAAGCTGTCAGTGAGCTGGCCATCATGTACAACCCTGCAACGTGTCCCTTCGTACATGCTCTTGATGAGGTTCACCAACTTCTGTGGGATTCCATGGTGTCTCATTATCTTCCATAGTGTTGCCCGGTCTATGCTGTCAAAAGCCTTCTCATAGTCAAGGAAGTTGACGATCAACTGGGAGTTCCACTCCAGGGACTGTTCCACAATAATCCTCAGCCTGGCAATCTGGTTGGTGGTTGAGCGGTTTTTCCGGAAACCAACCTGTTCATCACGTAGTCTTGGATCCGTTGCTGTCCTGATTCTCTCCAGAATGATTCTGTTGAAGACCTTGCCTGGTATTGAGAGAAGAGTGATCCATCTGTAGTTGCTGCAGTTGCCGAGATCCCCCTTTTTTGGGAAGCTTCATGAGGTGTCCTTCTTTCCAATCCTTTGGGAACTTGCTCTCATTCCAGATCCTGGTAAACAGTGGGAGGAGGATGTCTACAGTCACATTAGCATCTGCTTTTAGGGCTTCAGGTGGAATCTGGCCAGGACCAGCCACTTTACCTTTGTTCAGCTTCTTAATGGCATCCAGAATCTCTTGTTTTGAAGGAGCATCACAGCAGATTGGTAACTCATTTCTTGCTGGCAGGATGTTTGGTGGGTTACTCGGTGGTAGTCTGTTCAGGAGACTGTTGAAATGCACTACCCATCGTTTGGACTGAGCTTTCTTTTCAAAAATGGTTTTCCCCTCTTGGTCCTTTACTGGTACTTCAGATTTCCCGTATTTTCCAGCATGAGTGCTTGTGACTGGTGCTTCAGATTTCCCGTATTTTCCAGCAAGTGTCCTTGTGGTCTGGTAAAGGATTCGCATGTGCCCTCCTACCGCTGCTTCCTCTGCCTACACGTCTAGCCTGTTCATGAATTCCTCCTTGTATTTTCTTAGTGATTTCTCGATATCTGTAGCTGTTGTCCTGTACTGCTCCAATGCAGCCGCTTTTGATCCTCTTGTTCTACTTGCAATCACTTCTACCTTCAACTGTCTTCTTATCCTAATTTAATCCAATAAGTGTTGGCTAATCCATTCCTTGTGCTCCCATTTCTTCACACCGAGTACTTCTTGACAGGTTGAAGTAAAGGCCTTTGGTCCAGTGTGTATCCGCCTCCGTGTCCTCTCCGCCAAAAATCAGCCACAGGTTGAAATCTGTTCCTCAGCTGCAGTTGAAACTCTTTTTTCTTATGTCCGTCCAAGAGATTTACTTGGAACTTCGTTCTTTTGATTCCTGAGCTGGTTCGGTGCATTTTGAGTCGAAGCTGGAGTTTTGCAAACAGCAGAAGATAATCCGATCCAACATCTGCCCCTCTCTGTACTTTGACATCTTCCAGTGAACGCCTGAACTTACAAGAGATACAAAAATGATCTATCTGGTTCTCCGTCACTCCATCTGGCGAAACCCATGTGGCCTTGTGAATCCTCTAGTGGGAAAATACAGAGCCTCCAATGACAAAACTGTTGAAAGCACAGATGTGTGCGAATCGCTCACCGTTTTCATTCATTTGTCTCAAGCCATGTTGTCCCATAATTCTTTCATACCCCTTGTTGTCCTGACCAATTTTGGACTTGGCATCTCCCATTATGATGGTGACATCCTTCCTTGGTACCATGGTAGTTTGTCGATGACCCCCTGGAGCTGGCTGTAAAAGGCATCCTTGTCTTCTTCCGAAGCATCATTTGTTGGGGCGTAGATTTGGACTATATTCATGTTGTTGCTCTTGCTCTCTTTAGTGAATGAAGCCATGATGATCCTCTCCCCGAGTGGTTCCCATCCTCTAAGTGACTTTTGTGCATACTTACTCAAAATGATTCCCATTCCTTTCGCATGGTGCTTGTCTTCCCTCCCAGAATAAAATACTTTGTTCCCCCTAGCTGAGCTGCTTCTATCCAGACTGTATCCAATGTGTTTCGCTGTCTCCTAGTATGAGCAGCCTGTATCTCTTCATCTCTTGTACTACTTGAGAACACTTTTCTGCTTCATACAAGGTGCGAACATTCCAGGACGCAATCCGGAGACACTTGTTCGACAGAGAAGGTTTCGGGTCAGAAGAGTCCTTTCTGCTTTGTCCGCTGTCCTTCATTGTTCCTGCTGATGCAGAAACTCTTCCATCTCCCAAGATCGAAAAATAAAAAGCTGTGTTTTGTCCGTGTTTCTGTAACTTACTGGGTTTTTTTTTACTGGGTTGGGTAGTTGGCCCATCGCAAACTGGCACTTTTCGGGCGACCAGACCTTTGCACTTTTAGTCGCCTCTTACGACACGCAGTAGGGGCGACACAAGGTATAGATAGTCCTAATTCAACTATGATGCAGCAGCTTCACACGCACACACACACACACATACACACACACACACACACACACACACACACACAAACACACACACACACACACACACACACACCGAGCGCACATGCAATTATTATTTCCGTAACTCTGTCTCAGACTCTAAAGCCAAGTACATGTATTCGTTTGTTACATGATATTCGGTCATTTTCACAACACCCATCAAACACTATCTTATGCACTGCGTGTTTGAAGTTTTCAATTTTGAAAAGCTGTAGAAACATTGCATTAAAAACTAGTGGTTGTGCGAAATGAAATAATCGTATATAATAGATAACGCGAAAATGTTAAACGAACACTATCAACCGATGTGACGATTTTTGCGAATAAAAGAGAGAGAAAAAAAATCCTACATAAACAATACAAATCACTTGACTTTTCCTTTCCATAAAATCATATCACCTAGTATAATTATCAAAAATCGTTTCCAAAGGAAACTGAGAAGCCCATCACAGAAAAGATTCTAATAACTGTTCGATATTTGTGAGGCAGCGTGGTGGAATCAGGCTCTCGTCAAAATAATCAAAGTGAAGAAACTTGCATTTTTCCGGTTAGTGAATTTTTATCAAATTTTTGTTTTTGGGATCAACACCTTTTATGGCCATTAAAGAATTCATGTCTGTGTGGATTCTTACTGAAAAACGTTGATTAAAGGCACAAAAGATGTACATTTTCAGCTAATATGGACTCTTAAGCTAAGGAATTAACTAATCTTTGGCGGCCATTTCTCTCTAATTATACCTCTGAAAACAGGTTACCCCCACGTCCTTCATTTTCAAATATCTCGACTTGTATTTACGATAAACGGATATTATTTTTTATCCAAATAAAGACAAGTGGACAAGCTTTAAGATGATATCAATATCTCTATGTGCCCAAAAATTGAAGAGAGCCTGATTCCACCACGCTGCCTCACATTTACTGTTACATTTGTGTCATGGCACAGTGGAATCAGGCGCCCGTCAGCGTATGGGCATGCAGAGTTGTTGGTTCAAATCTTGTTTAATTTGTCTTGCTTGGCTGAAAAAATGCTCATCAATCTTGAATAGAAGTTGAAATGCAATTTAAGAAGGTGAGGTAATCTGGTGTCATAAGTGAACAGCGAGAAAATGGGTGCCAAAGTTTTCAGATTTCCGAAGCGTGGCGTGTGTCCTTAGAAACTTCAATGCTGCATTCATTTGGTAACATTCACCATCGTTTTCACTTAAATCCACCCAGTAATGTGTTGAGCCAAGATTTTATACACAATGATAAAAACTGCCCAAAGCGCTGGAAACGTGTCGTCCTCTTTCATTGTATTATTTCGATGAGAGCCTGATTTCACCATGATGCCACTCGTTTAATTTATCTTTACAGGCAGCCGAGAGGAAAACCAATACGAAGAGATTGATGTGGACAAAATGTCGATTCCGCATATTCACCTCCCAGCTCTGGTCGGAAAGTTTTTGCCAGAAACAACCAAACCCGTTTGTATGTGTTCACATTGGTGCAGCAAATTTCTCTTTCTGGAGATCTGTAAGATGCTATCTTATCTTGTGATAAAGATAGATAGGCGTTAGGCCGATCGGGCAGGGAACTTCTTACATTTTAGTTTTCATTTATGGATTGGGGGCGGGCAAGGAATATGGGTGGAGGTGGGGTTTTATAGCTGAGTGGCACTGGGTGGCCTTCTTTTGAAATGTTTACGTTCAAACGTTGTCCTCTTTGTTGCACTGTTTGTTTTGATAGAAAAGAAATGTAGAGTCTTGTTACTATTGGCTGCTAGCTACTCCAAGGCGCACCTATAGCCTAGTTGGTATCTCGCTGCAATACGGAGCAGATGACTCCCCAGCTTGGCGCTCTAAACGTAGGTTCATTAGTGCAGTTTTTGTATGGCTCTCCACCGTATTGGCTCGCTGCTATCGAGGATACACGTTAAACTTGAGGGTCCCTCCTCTTAAATAACCTTACAATGTTATAAGGGTTGTGAAACCTATATATCTCACATTTTCGTTCCTCGTGTCTCCATCCCCAGGCCGCCAAGAAGAAAATGTGTACATGGACGTAGATTCAGACAACTTAACCTCGCAAGACATTCCTACTCCGGGGCTTCTCGGAAAGTCTCCGTCAGAAAAAATGAAACCCGTTTGTATGTATTCATCTTGGCACTGCAAATTTCTCTTCAATGAGATCCTATCTTACCTTATCATCTTATCTTATCTTATCTTATCTTATCTTATCTTATCTTATCTTATCTTATCTTATCTTATCTTATCTTATCTTATCTTATTTTATCTTATCTTATCTTATGTTGTCTTATCTTATCTTATCTTATCTCAAGAAGAAGATGGATAGAGGTTGGGGCGATTGGGCAAGGAGTTTCTCACTTTGTATTTCTCATAAACGGTTTTGTTGGGCAGGCAAGGGATAAAACATACATGGATTCATGGAGAGTTTAAAGTAGAGGGTCGGGTGAGTATAAGCTTTTTTGTTTTTTGTTGTTGTTTTTTGTTCACGTTCACACTTTGTTTCAATTTATTGTACTCTTTCTGTCGTTAGAAAGAAAAGGGGATCTTGTTACTCTTCACTACTAACTACTCCTAGGGTGCACCTTTAGCTCAGTGGTATCATGCTGAATTACGGAGCAGATGACCCTAGTTCGAATCTCCAAGTGGGTGCTTTGAAAATAAGTTCTTTAGAGGAGTTTGTAAGGCTCTCCGCCGAATTGTCTCGATGCTATTGCGGACACACGTTAACTGCAGAGGTTCTACCTCTTCCATTTTGATGACCTGACAATGTTGAAAGGGGAGTAAAACCTACACAATTTCCCAATTTGTATTTTCTTTCCTCGTGCCTCCATCCACAGGCCGTGAACAGGAAAGTCCGTACGTGGATGTGGATTCGGTCCACATGTCGTCACAACAGGACATCCACACCCCGGTCCTGACAGGAAGAACCATGGCGGAAATCATGACACCTGACGCCACTCAGACAGACGGTGACGGGAGACATTACAACAACGTACTGCTGACGTCACCGATGGCAACAGCTGGACAGAAGGGTAAAGGTAAAAGAATTGTACAATGAAAACTTGTTTATGGCCTTGGCTAAATTTCTTCTAGTGTCAAGACTTGACATTAAATAAGAATATAGAACAAACAAAATATGATCTTAAAAAAGCAACCCCCCCAAAAAAAATAAATAAATAAATAAATGAATAAATAAATAAATAAAATAAAATAAAATATAAACACTACAACCCCCCCCCCCCCAAGCAAAAAAAAAAAAAAAGAAGAAAAAAACAACTACCAGAGTTCTGAAAAAGGCAGAAAAAATCCTAAGTGACCATAGCCACCCACTGACATCGGAATTGCAATAATTGACCGGCAATAAAAGATACATTTCCAAAAAAGCAAGAACAGACAAATATAGAAATTCATTCGTACCAACAGCAGTGAAGTTGCTAAGCAGACAGTGCTACAAATGAAACAGAAAGAGAGAGAGAGAGAGAGAGAGAGAGAGAGAGAGAGAGAGAGAGAGAGAGAGAGAGAGAGAGAGAGAGAAAGAGAAAGAAAGAGAGAGAGAGGAGAGAGAGAGAGAGAGAGAGAGAGAGAGAGAGAGAGAGAGAGAGAGAGAGAGAGAGAGAGAGGGGGGGGGAAGAGAAACAGAGAGAGAGAGAGTGTGTGTGTGTGAGTGTGTGTATGTGTTTGTGTTTTACAGAGAAGGTTGTCACAACACGTGAGACATGTATTTACTAATGTCCTGTCAAGTTGTGCGTATGCGTGAGTGCACCTAACCTTTGTAACGTCTACTGAAATTGTAAACGGCCAAGACAAATGTGTCCCTGCGAGATGAATAAAGGTTGTCATCGTCATTGTCAAACAAACAAACAAAATAACGTAAAGCCGGTTTGGCTCTCGGCAGTAAATTCATGGAGAAAAAAACTTTACAAGGCACAAAGAGAAGTCGGTTTGAAAATATGAACCTTTGACTTCTTTCTCATAAAGGTGAAAGGGTTATGGTCTAGGGTGTTCTTTTTTGCATTGCACTTTTCAATACTTTGTAAAGATAAAGAAATAGAATTGGGATCTGATGGTAAGGGGACATTTTTACTTGCGGCTTTCTACGATACATTTAAGGCAGGAACAAAACTATTCACATTGATAGACGTAGAAAAACTAGAAGAGAGAAAATAAGAAAGAAGCATAAGTGAGGCAGCGTGGTGGAATCAGGCTCTCGTCCGTTTTTGGGCATGTAGAGTTATTGGTATCATCTTAAAGCTTATTCACTTGTCTTTATTTGGATGAAAAAAATATTCATTTATCTTATCTTGAATACAAGTCGAGATATTTGCAAAAGAAGGAGGTGGGGGTCACCTGTTTTCAGAGGTAAAATTAGAGAGAAAATGGCCGCCAAAGATTAGTTATTTACTTAGCTTAAGAGTCTGTGGTAACTGAAAATTTACTTTTTTGTGCTTTTAATCAACACTTTTCAGAATAATCCACACAAAAAAAGGGTTCTTTAATGGGCATGAAAAGTGCTGAGTCAAAAAAAAACACATTTCATGAAAATTCACAAACCTGCAGAAAAATGCAAGTTTCTTCACTTTAATTATTTTGACGAGAGTCTGATTCCACCACACTGCCTCACATATTCTTTGAGAGGCAATGTGGTGAAACCATGCGCCTGTCAAAATAGGATCTAAGAAAACATACTTGCTCTGACGTGTTGGCAGTTATGATCTTTTTGGGGGGGCTCGACACCTGTTATGTTCGTTTAAAAAGACACATACGTGTGAATTTTACTGAAAGACGTTAGTGAAAGGCACAAAAAGGGTAAATGTTCAGTTTTCAATAACTCTCTAGCTATAGAAGTTACTAAACTTTGGCCGCCATTTTCTCGCTAACATTACCTCTTCAAAAGAAAATATCTCGACTTCTATTTAAGATTCACAGCAAGCAAGACAAGTTAACAAGATTTAAGATTATACCCAAAACTCCATACGCCCAAAATTCACGAGCTCCGGATTCCACTGTGACGTGGTACAATTGTCTTCACAAGAGATGGTTGGCAACCCCGTTATCTCAGCTGGTACCATGTTTGACTCTTGAGCCGATGGCTCTGGCTCGAATCCCAGACTGGGTATTCTTGAAGTTGGGTCCCTTAGTGGAGATTTTTTTTTCAAAATTCTCTACCATTTGGCCATGTCCTATCGAGGACGGACGTAAAATTCGGAGGTCATGCCTCTAAAATAACCTTTAAGTGTTGATAGGGGCTTTAAACCCATACAGCTACTTTACCTACAGATGATTTGATCTTGTCTGTCAAGGTTCTACGCTGAACGATAGTCCCACTGACCTCAGTGGAGATTCTTGTTCCTCTCGGCGACTTCTTCTAGTGTTTTTTTCAATCAACAGAACAGCCGAAAAGAAATCAGTACGTGGACATGGATATAGAGCTGATCAAAGCAAAGAACGCTAACACCCATATCTTGATCGGCACAACCACTGGGAAAACCAGTACACCTGACAACCCGCAAGCAGGTTACGATGACGGGAGACGTTACCAGAACGTGTCGGTGATGTCACCAGAGTCCGCCGTGGGTCACACAGGTAAATGTAACACACCGGTGAGTCATACCTCATCAGGGGTCGCGTGCTTTGAGACTTTGAGTTTTAGAAGTAAAACGATCTTGGTGAGAAAGACAAAACATAGGGAATGAGTGAGTACCTGAAGGAAGAAGAGTATTAATGAAAAGTAACTGAGTTTGTGGCGTAATGGTTATTGTTTCGCCGTTGTTTTGCACAAAACGTGACTTTTTTTCCCCGAGTGGAGTATACTTGTTTAATTGAGTTTATCCGTCTGTTTTCTGCGACGTTGTGTTCCTCATTTCTGATTGGCCCTGATGGGGAAGGTCGAAGAAGTCTGCCCCATGTATGATCTTCATTAAGTCCGTGGGGTCTTAAAACATTTACAATAACACACTGATATAAATACATTAAGGGGGTTCTCGTGAACTAAAGATATGGTGTTCACTTCTCATTCACTAGGTTTTAGATTCGAAACATGTTGCTTTTCCTGTTTCCTCACTTCGCACAATTAAAAGTTCTGTATGTTCGTCAAATGTGGCCATATTAATTTCATTCTTGTTTTAAATTGTAGGGAAAAGGTGATAGTTTTTTAAAAATAATGTTAACTCAGTTTTGAAAGTACCTTCATATGATAATATTAACCGACAGGGACACATATAGAGTACATACGTATAGTATTAGATCACATACGTATAAAAATCAGCTACTCGGCAGGTCGAAGAACCAGCAGCCGTCTACCCCTGACATCTAGCAACTAAAAACAAAGAAGAAGAGGATAAATAGATCACAGTGTAGACAACATTATCTGAGATCTTGCGCCACTCCAGTCAGAGTTAACGGACATCAACGGATTTTTCTATTTGAGAAATTCACTTGTCCTTATGACCATTTCCTGCCATGTGGAATTTTCCCTCCGTTTGGTTTCATGGATGTTTTTGTGGGGGGTTTTTTCTTTGTTTGTTTGTTGTTGTGTTGTTGTTTTTTTGGTTGTTTTTTTTTTTTGGGGGGTTACAAACGCTTAATGCTCTTCTTCTGAAATAAGATGTGTACGGATGCTAAGGACCGCCTCCTAGAAAGATCAAAACTGTGTCGATGGGGAAAGGGGCTATAAAACCAAAGTAGTTGAAACAGAATTTGCTTGTGGAATGCAGTGAAGAGAAAACATCGTTTACTTGACGGGTCGTTAAATACGTTATTCTGTATACATTAAACCTTCCAGTTTATTGATTTTTTCATTTTCTTTTATTCTTTATCTGTGTGTGTGCCTAAAGAAAGGTACCTTAAGTTCTCACAGACCATTTGGAGCTTCAGGCTGATAATTACGAAAAAATCACTTTTTGAAAAAACAAAATGTGTTTTCATTAAAAAATGATAGTTCCACGATTTTTAATACAGTTTTAAAAGAGTTTTCATTGATTTGACTTCTTAATATTTTATTTTGAATTATATTGAGGGTAGGGTATGTTTTAAAAAAGATAAAGAAAACTGCTTTTAAAAGGTGTGAAAATCTATTCTTGAAGCTCGTTTTCAATTTCTCTTCCCTGGTATATTTTACAGAATTCTAATCCTGATAATAATGTCAACTGAATTCCTAATTGAAAATGAATTTTCCATGAATAAATACATTAAAAAACAATTAAATCATCGGGGGTTGTTTTTTTTCAAGTCTGTATGTGTTCTAAACTTGAAAGCTAATTTTCTCAAAATTAAGTCTTTAGACCCTACCTCGCAAAATGTGCAATATATCAAAAACTACTTGAGATACCTCAAAAAAATATAAACCACTGTGTTCAGCATTGAATGTCCTATTAGGTACAACCCATAGCTAAAAAATGGTTAAAATCCGACTTTTGGTACCTTTCTTTAGGCACACTCTCATTTCTTTAAAGTTATTCATGCATCTATTCATCTTTATTTGACATTTGTTAATTAATAATTAATTAGAATTCATTCGTTAATTAATTCCATCATTCATTCATTCATTCATTCATTCATTCATTCATTCATTCATTCATTCATTCATTCAGTTATTCATTCATTCATTCATTCATCCATTCAATTCTTGATTTTTTAAAATTCCTTTTTTGTTCATTCATTCATTCATTCATTCAGTCATTCATTTGTTATTTGTTTTGTTTATTTGTTGATTTATTTGTTTGTTTATTCATTTTCATTCATTCATTCATTCATTCATCGATTGTATTAATTAGTTAATTAATTAATTCGTTCAATCAATCTTTGATCCATTTTTAAAAAATTTGTTTTACGAAACAACAACAAAAAGCACAAGAAGGAGACACGACATAAAATTCGAGTTAATTCGAACATGGGCCAAATGACGTAGTTCCGCCGATTTGGAGCTGTCCCCGTGTACATAGGGTTATGTAGTTCCTAAAGAAATTCTGGTAGAGTCATCTTCTTATTATAATGGAGCTAAGCCCATTTGTGGGGTCAGTAAAAACTTCTTACACAAGTGCCCATAGAAATCTACAAAAATGTGAGTTAGACAAGAATTGCCCCAAAGGGTTACGTGGGCATATTTTCAACGTTCGGAAACTACCTTTTTTTCAGGTTTAATGGTTTTTCCTGTAAATCGAAGCTCTCGGATGTTTTCACTCTACCTTTAGCCATTTCACATTTTACTGGGGACTACTTCTGTTTCGATAGAGGAAGACCTTGATCGTGCTAGGCCAAGAAAGAATGGGCCAACGTTGGTCATAGCGTGCAACGCACAGTCGTGTAGTAAAACTGAAGTTGACCGAAGATTACATATGACTGTGGTGAATTCAGTGTTGTCTGTGATCATTGCAATGCCATAAGATGAGGAGAAGAGAGAAATACATTCTGATGTCAAAATGAAAAGGTTAGTACCTGTACCTCCCCCACCTCCTCGGGAATTAATAACGTTTTACGATATAGCTCAGAGCACTAGCTCTTTCTTCCCACACTGTAGGTCATACAATAATGCTCTCGCCCTTGCTTCAATTGGATGCTGTGAACAAGCTGAAAAGGGCTTCAATCCAACCTTCAAAATCCAGGGCAAGCCGTACCACCGATTAGGAAATCTTCTTCCCACTGCTGGAACTGAACCAAAATTTGCACAGATTCTTTTTCATGACTCTGCCACAGAATTTCAGGATAGGCTGAGCCTGTGTCATATTTTGCGGCCAGACATTTTGAAAGAACTTCAACCTGAGAGAGAAGGTGAGTCAAGAGTACCTAAAGCTTAAAGAAGAACAAAGAGTGGTGTATGGTGCTGTGATAGAGTCAGTAGTACAGAAACAAAGCAAGATATTTGCCCTGGAGGCAAGTAGAAGGACTGGGAAAACCCACACTATAAACCTGATTCTTGCGGCTGTCCCTTCCCTTAAGAAGATCGCCCTTGCTACAGCTCTGTCAGGCATTGCAGAAACTCTGTTCTCAAATGGCAGAACATTACACTGCAGATGCAGAATATCCCTTTGTGTGAACGAACAGTCCATGTGCAGTGTGAGTCTCCAAGATGCCAGTGGCCTTTTATTACGCCAGACAGAGCTGCTCATCATTGGTGAAGTATCGATGGGCCACAAACATAGATGTTTGAACCCAAAGACCGAACACTTCAAGACATATGTGGGAATAGCTCTCTGTTCGGTGGGCTAACTGTGCTGATGTCGGGTGACTGGCGCCAAGTACTACCAGTAGTTCACCATGGCTCAAGACCACAGATAGTCAATGCAACGCTGAAATCTCTTATCTGTGGGAGAATGTTAATGTGCTCAGGCTGACAAGAAACATGAGAGTTTCGCTTACAGGTGAGACTGCTGATTTCTCCAACTATCTATTGAACATTGGTGATGGCACCCACACAATATATGCAAGCAAATCGAGGAGTTTGCGATAACACTGCCAGATGACATCACTGTAAACAGCGAACGAGAGTTGATAAATTTTGTCTTCGGTAACGTGCAGTCTAACACAAATCCTGACTGGCTGGCTTCCCGCTGCATCATCTGTCCCACCAACACAGAAGTAGACAGAATAAAAAACCTGATCATGCAGTCCTTTCCCGGAGAAGAAAAAGTCTGCAGGAGCAGTGATTCGGATGAAGAAAATGAACACAAATACCCCATCGAATTTATCAATTCCCTGTGTCCGTCAGGTATGCCACCCCACAAAACTGACATTGCGGAAAAACAACATGAGCATTGTCAGGTAGCTGAGAAATCTGGATCCTTCAAACGGCCACTGCAACGGGACTCGCTATGTGGTTCAAAACCTTCATCAACATGTCATTGATGTAGTCGTTGCTTGCGGTCCACATGCCGGAAGAGACTTTTCACCCCAAGGATTCCCCTCATGCCTTCAGACAACATATTTCCCTACCATATGCGAGGGAAACAATTCAATTTCGGTTAGACCTGCTTTTGCAATGACTGCCAACAAAGCTCAGGGACAGACTTTGAAAAGGATAGTGGTTTCTTTACCGGGCGATTTTTTTCCATGGACAATTATATGTCGCAAAGAGTCGTGTTTGGTCCAGGGAATCTATTAGGATACATGCAAACAGACCTGCTGCCCAGGACGGTGTTCCAGATGGCGCATATACCAGCAATGTTGTCTACACAGATGTCGTACGGAAATGAATCAGGTACCGGTCCAAACATTTTATCTTGAGCATTCCTATCACTATAGCACCGTTCGTAGAACGGGTCTGTGTCTAGTCATAATAATTGGGGTATTTTATATTTCTTTTTTTTTTACAGATCAGTATGTGAGCTTCCAACCCGAAGCGGAATATTTCAACGTTGACATTGGTGAGTACGTCTGTTGTTCTTACACTGTTGTCTATCTATCTATCTATCTATCTATCTATCTATCTATCTATCTATCTATCTATCT